CAGGGGTGGTCTGTGGTAGTGACATAATGTGTTGTCAGTTTGAGGCTTCAGAGTGAAGGGGTAGAGTTTAGCCTGTCAATCAGGTCACAGCTTGAGGACCTCATTTGGAGGTGCTAAGAACATAAACAGCTTGCTGGAGGTGGGACACATGCTCACTTCCTGCAGACACATGCTAGCTGACAAGACACCTGGAGCTACTCCAGAGCAGTGGAGCTGAAGAAGCCACGTGGAGACCCTGGCAAGCACCGAGATGTCTCTACTGCCACTGGATCCACAAAACTTTCCACCTACTGGCCTGTGATCTTCCTGCATTCTGCATCGTTCCATGTGTTTCGTGACTCTCAAGAGGAATTTATAGATTGCTATTACACACACGGGCTAATATCAAGACCTGATCTTGACTGGGCTGAGAAGTTTCCTCAATATTCAGTCGCTCTTGTCTATAAAGCTCTTTCATATATATGTGTGTGTGTGTCTATGAGGTTGTTTCTCTTGTGTACCCAGACTAACACAATGTCATTCCTGTCCATTTAAAACAATTTTTTTCATTCTTGTCCATTTAAAAGTTGAATTTTAATACTTGTTCTTAAATATCTCTCACAAGCAAATATATTGAAAGTATTTCAATCTATTGAAAAGCAATCAGTGTAGTGAGATGCTTCAATATAGAGGAAAATTCATTGGTTCAGGAATGAAAGGCCCCGGGTTAAAGTCCACTAATAACTGATTGTGTGATCATTTTGACATGGACAGGGACAGCAGCCTGATGCATCACCACATACCGGATATGGAGAGGTCAGAGGCCTTGAGGCAGACCAGCCAGGATCTTACCAAGTGGGGACATAGTTGAACCCCAGCCAACCAGGGACCACCACTTGAGTCCCAGCCAAGCAGGGGCAACTGCAGTCTTTTCTGGAAAAAGCCATCCCTGAGCCCAAGAGCTCCTGCCAGACATCTAAAAAGGGCCTGGAATTTCTGGGTGGTGTCTCACTCCCTTTGCCTTTTGTGTACTGCGGACCCTCTGGGGGACTGTCCCGAGTGTATCCTGACTTAACTGCTCAATGAAGTGGACAGAAGAAAACAGGGCTTGGTGTCACTGCAATGAAAAATCTCAACCGAATCTTTAAGTATTATATATTTTAATTAAACTCAGAATTAATGTAAGTATTGGAGCAGTTTTCTTTCCTGAAATATGTAAAACACTTGTCAAAATAGTAAAGAAATATCTCATATGTCCTTTCACTGCCATGGGAGCAGTAAAAGATGGCACTTTTCCGAAACAGTCTTACCCAACGTTAATTTTTTAAAAGAATTTTAGTGGCACACCATGCACATAACATACATCCCAATAGTTTAATCATATCCAGAAGAGTTGCGCAATCATTATCACAATACATTTTGCTTCTTTCTTGTATTCATTGTTATTATCTTTCCATTTTCCCGCAACCCCCTTGCTGTACCCCCAGAAAATCTGTCATCAAGTTACTCTCTCCAAGACGTACTTATCCTGGATTTCATATACTGAAATTCTTACCAAGAAACCAAACCAACCAAACACGAAAAACAAAAACTAAATGCAACATAAACTAAGGACAATAACAAACTAAAACAGAGAAAAACCTCAATGGGAAAGAAAGTAAACTTTTCATAACTTCCTATCTCACCCAAAAGAAAAGCCAGAATCTTAGATGGACCCGGCAGGTGCAGTCTGTCCGCTCTGATCTCATCATAGAAACTCTCATGAGGGACTCTCCTCTAGCCACAAAGGCTTTCATGTTCTTCTTCTTTTGTCATAACAATTTTCTTGGGGGTGAATTCAGATATCATATTGTTTCATAGTTCAATCACATCAAGCAGTTTTGTACAATTGATGCCCCGATCAGTTTCAAAACATTCTGTCCTTCTTGGTCTCCTCGACTTTCACGTCCCTTTGCCCCTCCCTCCATCCATGCTTCCCCCAAGAACCCTTATTTTACTTGCTATGTCTAGAGGTTAATCAGTCCTCTGTTTCATATACCAAAAACACAAAAATACTTCTCTGATGCCATGTTAATTGGATGACCCTTTGAAAAAAGAGCTTTAATCTTAGGGGTGTTGCATTTATGTAACTGGTTATGGAATAATTTTGAAAATGTTATATCAATCATTGATGTGCAAAACAACGACTATAGTCAATGGCACTAAGTTATGTGTGCGTGTGCAGAAGTTGTGACATTGGAAAGAATGTGTTCTTGCCTATATTGTTGCTACAAGGAGAAAAAAAAATAACATGAATAACCTGTAATGATTTACGTGATCACAAGGAAGAAAAAAATGTTCCAGAATTGAGGTGGTGAGAGTTGTACAGCTCTTCTTGATATGACTGAGTTATTGAATTGTATGACATGTGGATGAAGTTCCAGTAAAATTGTTTAAAAGAAGAAAGGAAACCAGAGAACTTGCACCTAAGGAGGAAGATACAGTCCTAATACTATGTAGGTACTTAAAAGCACTTTACCACTTCAAATGAGTGCACCTTGTTTATCTTTACCCTGTTTGTTAATAGGAAGACTTAATTGTGCTTAACCCTCCAAATATGCCTGCACCGCTGTGTGTGTGTGTGTGTGTGTGTGTGTGAAGATTGCATGCATGTGCCTTTCAGCCCTTTCATAGACATTAAGGGTGACTTTTTTCCCTAGCACTGTTAATTTACTTCTAGCTATGAAGATAGTTGAATTCCGGTTTGGACCTTAGAGAATCTATATCAGTCCCTAAAGGTGGAAATCACAGTGGTGGAAGGTGACACTGTACTTCCTTCTGAGCAAGCAAGGAAAGAAGGAAAGAAAGAGTGCCACATCGATTTTAGTGTATTTTCTTAAGTTATACAGATGAGTCTCACAGAAAGCTTGACACAAGAGAATTTTCTTGATTTCGAAATATTACAGGCAAGTTAAATTTGTGTTCAAGAAGAGAATACACTGCTAGAGTCATGACAAGCATCTAACAGCCAATGGTTGCATGGGGCAGCATAGGTGAGTCCAGCCAACACCAGGTTGAGCATAGGAACTGTCCTGCTAAGCCCTTTCTGCATTTGAGCATCCTGATATGGTGGGAAAGAAGAAATGGTGGTGTGTGTGTGTGTGTGTGTGTGTGTTTAAGATCAGTAATGTTTTGATTGGTTTGTGTATCAGCAATAGGAAATTAAAATACATCATTCAACCTACTGTATCCTACAATGAGCTCTGCAAGGTTATTATGATTTTTTAAGTAATTTTTCCTATAACTCAGTAAAATACGCTTTCATTTGACTCTGTGGCTTGCTTCATGCCCCAATGAAAGGAAGTTTTAATATCAGGAAAGCTTCAGCTGGATCTGTTGTCAAGATATTTGCCAGGAAAATGTAATATGGATGTAGTGAAATAGGTACCCTTTCTGCCTGGCCTTTTTTGTCTCACAAGGCAATAGTCTAATCAGTGGAAGCTGCTGGTAAGCAGTATGCCCTTGCTACTACTGGTTTCAGCGGGGGGAGGGGGAAAGCTTGTTCAGATTTGGGTGTTTTATATTTCTTTGGTATACTTACGACGTTCTTACAATCAATGTCCCCATTTACCCTGTCAAAATGACACCCATTGCCATCCACGTTTGCCTCATAACAAAGCCACAGGACAGAGTGGAACTGGAAATTGGGTAGCCAACATCAAATCCTTGCAGTAGCCACCTGTCTCTACTCCCTTGCTCAAAGCAGCAAGTTGTGGTTGCTAATTGCAGACTTTTTGATTTAAAGGGAAGTATTGTAGCCATGTGTCACCGGAACACAATCTCAATGCCATCACGTGAATTTTGACTCATACAGACCTACTGGGGCAGAGTGAAACTTCCCCTGTGGGTTGTCAAGGCAGCCAAATTTTAAGGGAGTCGTAAGTTGCATCTTTCTTGCACTGAGCAAAGTAGTGGCTTTGAACTACTGACTTTGTGGTTAGCAGGCCAACACCTAACTCACTCCACCACCAGAGCTCTCTACCATGCCCCCAGAGTGTCTTTATCCACCTTAAGAGAAGGCAACATCTTGGTTCACGAAGAAGCAATTTCTAGGCACTTCTCTACTACTGTTAGAAATGAGAGGGATGCCTATCTTTGCCCTGAGTGAACACACACGGTAAGAAGGCAAGATAAATAGTTTATTAAATAAACCAAAAATATATAGGATTAATGAACACCCCTCCCCCAATTAAGGTTGAGAGAAATTAGCGAATTAAACCAGACAATTGAGAAGCGTAGGTGCAGAGACATTCATTCCAAGGTGTACACAATATACCATTACCAAGAGAAAAGCCCTTTTGGCAAATATAAGACACAGCTTGTTCTTGGATATAAAAGCTCAATATCATACAGTGTCAGTTGCCCTAAATAAATTTAAAAATTTAAAGGAATCATGAGAAAGTCACCCTGAGAATTCTTTGTCTGGAGCGAAACAAATTCTTCCTATTTGGGAAAACTGTCCTCTAAATTCCACTTATGGGTAAGAAGACAATAAAGCCACGAAAAGAAAGAGCAAGAATGTCACCCACCTCAACTCAATTATTCCATCCATCAGACCTGCCCCTGCCCGGTCAGTATTTTCCATCGGCCAGAGTGGGGGAAACAGGCAACCTCATGGTTTAGTGTCACTGGGAACGCCAAGTGGAGAGACTGCAATGGAAGTGAACTGGGCTAGAGACAGCAGAATTATACTTTGATCCAATCAACTCATTTGGAAGACTGGTTCAAAGTTCCGCAAGCATAACACAAAATGAGGACTACACAAGGCTATTCACATTGCAGTATTTGCCAGGGTCTGTGTTTGCTAGAGTGACAACAACTTACATGCTAGTCAACCCAGGATTTGGTAAATGTCTTAGAGTTGACACAGATCTCTGTCCAACACCAGGAAGGGATCTTCAGCATAGGCTATTAGGTGAACAAAGAAAGGTTAGCGCAGTTTGCACAATGCTACAGCATATCTATGACGAGATGAGCAGATTTTACACTCTTATTGAAAGGAAGGATGAACCCAAACCCATAGAGAGGGTTCCCCGAGGGAAGGAAGACAACAGAGGTACGTGTATTCAAATCATGATAGTAGGGGGAGGAAGCATTTAGGAACTTGAGGAAAGTTGTATCTTTCATCATTGCTACCTGCACTCTGACGGCCTCCACTCTTCCCCATGACCCTTCCGTAAGGGGGTGTCCAGATGCCTACAGATGGGCTTTGGGTCTCCACTCTGCACCTCACCATCAATTACAATGATACGACTTTTTGTGTTTTGATACCTGATACCTGATCCCTTCGACATATCGTGGTCATACAGGCTGGT